GCATGCGGAACATGCTGATCCTGCGGCCGCCGCCGCGAGAGTTCCTGGAGTGCGGGCCGCCGGCGTCCCTGCGGAAGGCGCTCCTGGAGTTCGACAAGAGAACGGTTTTGTCCAGGGCGGAGGCGAAGCAGCTCGCGGCAGAGCTGGGCTTCGTGCTGCCTTCCGCCTGAGCGCGGCTGCGCCTCGCTCGAAGCCCGCGGGGTTGTCCCAACGGCTTGGTCTTGCGCGCCAACGGCTCGCGGGGTTGTCCCGACAGCCTGGCCCGCGGGGTTGTCCCAACGGCTGCGCGACGTGACCAGTAGAGAACGCGCCTGTGCTGGCCGTGGCGGCGACGGCGCCGAGGAACATCGACATGCGCGCTCATGCAACAGGAAGGGGAGGAGGTGGCGGGGCGCGGAACAAACAGGGGGGCGAGGATGGGGACAACGTAAGGAGTGGAAGGGGGGCCCGCGCCAAGGCGAGAGGAAATATACGCAGAAGAGACAGCCAGGACGCCTCACCAACCACGAGGACGACGGTGATGGCTTTTTCCAGATTCGCCCAGAGGATTCTTATGTGGGGTTCTTCCGTCGGAGTAATTTTCGTCGAAAATCCCCCTGTAGGGGGACACGCCCGACATAAACACAACTCCCCTCTCCCCTCCTCCTCCCCCTCCTTCCCCCTCCTCCTCCTCCCTCCTCTCCCCTCTCCCTCCCCTCCTCTCCCCTCTCCCCTCTCCCCTCCTTCCCCCTCCTCCTCCTCCCCCCTCCTCCTCCTCCTCTCCCCTCTCCCCTCCTCCTCCCCCCTCCTTCCCCTGCCCCCTCCGGCCCCGCTCCCTTCTCCCTCCGCGGCGACAGCGACAGCGAGCCAGAACGAGCAGAAGGCACTCAAGCAGGCCAAAGCGCGGACATAGCATTCTAAAACGCGGACCCGAGACGGTGCGATGGAGCGAGGGAGAGAAGGACGACGAGGAGGAGGAGGAGGAGGAGGAGGAGGAGGAGGAGGAGGAGGAGGAGGAGGAGGAGGAGGAGGAGGAGGAGGAGGAGGAGAGAGAGAGAGAGAGAAAGAGAGAGAGAAAAAAAAGACAGTGGGGGATCCGCCGGCCCCCTTGCGGGGCCATCAGGCTCCGCGGATTAGCACTGCTGCTCCCTGCTCCAGTTCTGGCTTCCAGCCCCCGACGCTGCAGGTCTGCGCGCTGCGTCCTGTTGTGACCCGTTGACGTCCGCGCCAACGGGGGGGAGCCGAAAAGGGCTCTTCATCCGGGGGGGGCTCAGAATTTCTGGGGGGGTCCCTGGGACACGCAAACATGCATGATATTCGCGCCCCCGAGGCCATGACCCTTTTGTAAATGAAACGATGTTCGCGTCCCCGAGGCCATCATCCTTTGTAATTGATGTAGTGCTCGCGCCCCCGAGACCATAAGCCCTTGTAAAGTACGCTGTGTTCGCGCTCCCGAGACCATAATTCCTGACAGATTATGCGACATCCGCGCCTCCAGGGCAATACCCCCCCGTAAATTATACAACATCTGCGTCCCCGAAGCCACGATCCCTCGAGAATGACGCGCTTTCCGCGTCCCCGGAATCATAAACCCTCGTGAAGCACATGGTATTCGCGCTTTCGAGGCCACAATCCCTCCACAACAAAAAACTCAAGCCCGTACAAGAGGCATCCGAGGCGGCCCAAGAGTGCTCCAAAGCGCCCACGGTGGTCCCAAGACGGTCCAAGAGGCTCCCAAGAGGCCCCCAAGAGCGCTCCAAGAGCATCCCCAAGAGGGGCCCAGGAGGGCAACATCTGCGATTCTCCCTAGGTTTGCTCTACGAGGGCGGCAGGGGGCGAAGACTTACGTATAGATAGAGGGTGAAAGGGAAAGAGGGGGGGGGGAAGAGAGATGCCAAGGTTGCCTCTCGGATGGTAGGAGGATCGATCGTGCAGGGACGGGGAGGGGTCCGCCATTCCACCGCCCCCGCCCTGTGATCCCTCCCCCCTCCCTCCTCTGACCGCCTTCCTCCCTCCCCGCGGCCCCAGCACCCGTCCAACTCTCGGCAGGGGGGGGCCCTGGGGGCTGGGCGTGTAAGGGGTCGGCTCATTGGGAAATCTCCCTCCTCCCTCCTCCCCTCTTGCCCCCGACATCTCGGGCGCCCTCCTCGCTCTCCCCGCTGCGCTCTTCGAGATGGGGCTCCGAGGGGCGGGGGCCCCAAGATCGAGCGGCCTCGACCACCGAAGGCTTCGCTTGAGACCCCTTGCCCACTCTGTGGCCCCATCCCTTGGGGACTCCATCTCTGAACCGCACATCTTCGCACGACGCCCATGTCAGCGTCAGCCGTCCGACGCCGCCCTTGTCCCACCCTCTTCCTCCCCTCGAGCTCCCGCTTCCTCCCTCTTCCTCCTCCGCTCCTTCGTCTGGGCCTGCACGCACGTGGAGCAGTGATATATGCAGGATCGCAACGCCACGGCTCCTGCCATTTTCGGAGACCAGGGGCCGCTGCCATGAGGAGAGCAAAACCTGTGACAATGACACGCGGTCGTGGGGACCCCCTCAGCGCTTCATTGCCAAAGGAAAACCGGGCCTGCGGGCCAAAACGAAGGAGCAACACGCCGACGCGATCCCAACGGCTGCGTGCCATTCATGCTATTCCCCCCCGCCCCCGAGCTCTTGTCCAACACGTTCTGCGTCAGGTCTTGTGCGGGTGTTCGCCCCGAGCCCTCCGTGCCCCCCAGAGGTCGAGAACAACCAAACACCGTCCGCAGTGTTCTTCCACGGCGCGAGGAGGGTGTGAGAAACCAACAGGTGCCGACACCGCCTTGCTCAAGGTCTCCCCCCCCGGGCGCCTTCTGACCAGAAGTTCCGGGAGGATCCGGCCGTGGCGACGAAGGCCTCCCCGGATGTTCCAGAAGGCGCACACGAGGGAAAGGCAGCGGCATTGGCACCCTTTCCCCCTCCGATGTCCGGGCCCGCGGCCGAGACCGCGGAGCACGGCATGGCCCTCCTCCTCCTCCTCCTCCTTCTCCTCCTCCTCCTCCTCCTCTCCTCCTCCTCCTCCTCCTCCTCCTCCTCCACCTCCTCCTCCTCCTCCTCCTCCTCCTCCTCCTCCTCGCTCCTCTCCTCCTCCTCCTCCTCCTCCTCCTCCTCCTCCCCTCCTCCTCCTTCTCCGCCTCCTCCTCCTCCTCCGCTTCCTCCTCATCCTCCTCCTCCTCCCCATCCTCCTCCCCATCCTCCTCCTCCTCCTTCTCCTTCTCCTTCTCCTCCTCATCCGTATCCTGGATGCCGAGGCCTCTGCGCTCCCAAGCCGCCCCTGCCGCTCGCCGCTCGGTGTGCAGATGTTTGCCGCTCGCGCTCGTGGCATATGTGACATCCTCCGCGGACGGGTGTCATAGCGTACCTGGAACTCCAACACTGACCCCGCCTTGCTGTTGCGCAATCGGGGAAGGAGAGCTGCGTTAAGATGCGAAGGGGGAGGTTGAGGAGGAGGAGGAGGAGGAGGTGGCGGATGAGCAGGAGGATGAGCAAGAGAAATCTGATGAGGATGCAAAAAGGTGAGGAAAGCGAGGACGAACGGCAGCAACGGGAACTGAAGTGGAAGGAGCGGGAGGAGCATAATGACATTGGGAAGGCGGAGGGGGGGAAAGGAGGGTGCTACCAGTGAGGAAGAGCTCGGATTGAGAAAAGAAGCCCGCGAAGGGCCAGAGCGTCAGTCTGAACGACGAGAACAAAGCGCCGATCCTACAATGAGGCGGCCATCGCTGCAGCGACAGCACCATTTTGAGACACCGAAGACGTTCCGATTCAGAACGCCCGCAGGAAAGACTCTGTAATGACATCCTGTGGAAGAACCATACGCGGAGGGGGCGACTACTCCCTGGTCATCTTCGGGGGAGGAAGGGGAGAGTAGCAGTCATGGTGAGTAGTCGTAAAGGAATGAGGAGGAGGAGGAGGAGGAGGAGGAGGAGGAGGAGGAGAAGGAGGGGGAGGAGGAGGAGGAGGAGGAAGCGGAGGAGGAGGAGGAGGAGGAGGAGGAGTCCAGGAGGAAGAGGAGGAGGAGGAGGAGAAAGAGAAAGGGGGGGAAGGCATGGGAGGAGGAAGAGTAGGAGGACGATGCGGAGCAGGAACATAACGAGGACGGAGGAGGGGGGAGAGCTCTTGTTCTGCCTCTCTCTCTCGCTCTCTCTCGTCATCTCTCTCTCTCTCTCTCTTTATCTCTCTCTCTGTATATATATATATGTCGCGCTGGTCTTTCAGAACCTCGGCCCCTCTCAGGACTCGCCCGGTGACCCCACGGGACGTATCAAGCACGCCCTCCGCGACCCCCACAAAAAAAAATCGGTCCCGAGGGATCGGACCGACAGCTCCCCGGGGACCCGCGCCACGGAACGACCCTCTCGACGCCCGACAGGCCATGGGCCGCAGCGGCGCCCTGCGAGGCGCGGCGAGGGGGGCCTCGGCTGCGGCAGCCAGAAGAGACAGAGCCACGCACAGACACCGAGACTGATCAGGCCCAACCGCCAATGATCACTGCATGCGCCCCCTCCTCCCCCCTCCCCCTCCCCCTCCCCCTCCCCCTCCTCCTCCTCCTCCTCCTCCTCCTCCTCCTCCTCCTCCTCTTCCTCCTCCGCCTCCTCTTCCGCCACGTCTTCATTTACCTCCGACGTCTTATCACGCATCCCGTCACCCTCGAGGGCCGAGGTATCAAGGGTCGGCGGCACTGGCCGTAAGGCCTTAGCAATGCATGCGCCCTCCTTGCTTAGCTGGGGATGCATATGTCGCCGGGCCGGTTGTTCTGAGCGCGCCCAAGTAGACGAAGCCGGCACCGCGGCAAAGCAACGGCAAACCTTGTGTCTGAGGCGGAGCTTATCCTGGTGGTCGAGGCGCTCTCCGCAGGGCGTGGGGCCGCGCGTCGGAACAAAGGGTGCGGCGACATATGCACTGATCCTGAGACCAGGATGGACCTGGACAGAATCGGTGTATGGACCTAGTTCTCTGCACCCGGGAGGCCGCGTTTTTTTCAGGAGGCCCCTCCCTCCTGGCGCCCTGCGTCGAAGTCGGCGAGCATGTCCTTGACATCCTCTCAGGGAGGAGCATGCTGGAAGGGGATACATTCGAGGCGCATGCAAGGGCCTTGGAAGGCCACGTCGACACCTTCCTTTCGAGCGGGGCGCTGTCAGCGAAAGTGGCCAAGGATGGGCCAAAAGGGCAAGGATGCACGGGTAGCCTGGGAAAGTTGCTCATCCTTACTGTGCGCTTTGATTGTATGCGCTGAGAGCAAAAGCGGGCACGCGGCAGGGGGTGGCGTCATACGACGAGGGGCAACCTGCAAGAGTGGGGGGATGTACACTATACTGCAGCTCCTCTCCGTCAGAAGGACGCTCGATTGCGCCCCCCCCCCCCCCCCTCACCCCCAAAACCCCACTCCGATGGGCTGCCGCCGCTCCATAGACACGTGGGCTGGAACCCTGGGATGCCCGACGACGCGTGTCTCTGCAGCCCCTGCTGGGGTCCCAAGGCTCTCGGGGCAACCCGTGCGACCCGACCCCATGGGCTGCCCACTCCCAGCCGCCGGGCGGGAGAAGGACAAATCTGCCGGAAGGCGAGTGGCTGGTCTGCAGGCGGACCAGTCCCTCCTCGTCCTCCTCCCCCACCGCCACCTCGCCACCGCCTGCAGCGGACAAAGCACGGTGGAGAAACGCCTGGCCTGCCACAGACGCTGCCCTGCCGCCGGGACCGGCGGCCAAAGCGGCCAGACAGGCCTTCCTGGGCATGACATCAGGAGGTGGCGACATTCGAACCCTAATGCGGGATGACGATTGATAAAAAAATGGGAGAGAACGATTAAACACATAGTTTTCTGTTATTTTTGCACATTTTTCTGACTGGAGGAGAACGATTGAAAAATAGTTTTCCAGCCCGCGGCCGGTTTTTTCTAATCGTCATCTTGGGCGCCGCCGCGTGAACACGACCCCCGGTCATCTATTAATCGTCATCCTCCATTACCCCCACCAACCATCGACTCTCCTGAATCGCTGGGAAGCGGGGTGGGGTGTGGATTCCGCCACGCGTTCGACGACTTCCGAGCCCTACCCCCGCCGCCCATCGAGTTGCCTGAATGGTCGCTGGGCGCGGGTGGGGCGCGGACGTCGCCGCCGACTCAAGCGGCCCTGAGGGCAACAGAGACTGGTCCTGGACCCCCCCTCCCACCCAGTACTTTTTTCTATACAGCCGCGTCGAGAGCCCCGCGGCAGAGGAGGGGGGGGACCGGCCGGGCGAAATGGGGGGATAGCAAAGGGGGGGTTTGAGAATCAGCTCGCGTAGCTGATTTTCCCGGCGCCTCCCGGCGCCGGGAGGCGCCCATGTATCGAGGAATGGGCCCGGCGGCGGAGCCGAAACCAGCTGCATGCAGCAGATTTCGTACCCCCCCCTTTCCCAATCCCCCCCTTTCGTCCAGCCCGAGGGGAGGGCAGGAGGAACCTGCAATAAACTCATGACCCTGGCGGCCCCGCCCTGCTCGGCCAGGCGCGCCGCAGGCGCCCCGCGTCACGCCACCTCGCCCTCGCCGGCGCGCGCCGGCGGCACCCGCAGGAGGGCCGCCGCCCGCGGCGCACGGCTCGGACGGCGAGGGGCGGGCAGGGAGGGGCAGGGCCCGGACCCCCTCGGGCCATTGCGGCAACCACGACGGAGGGCTGCGTGCTCTCCTCCAGCTCTAGGGAGCCCTCGCGGGGCCGGGGGACCCAGCTCGTGCGGCCCGAAGTCGCTCCCCGACGGCCCTGGGGCCGAGGCAGGGCCTCTGGAGGCCGAAGGAGCGGGGCGAGACTCCAGGACCCGTTTCCCTCTGGACCCCTTCTTCCCCTACACTCCTCCTCCTCCTCCTCCTCCTTCTCCTCCTCCTCCTCCGACCACGCTCGTTTCTCGGTCCATGTCTGACACCAAGGGCCTCGAGCCCTTCCCAGCGGGATGTTGTTGTCCCGGACGACCCACGCTGATGCCCCCGAGGCCCGATGACGGGCTCCTCTGCTCGGCCACCATCGGCCGCGCCAAACGAGCGCCACCACCTGCGAGGCTCTCTGCGCCTCGCGCTCGAGGGTACGAGCACGAAACGCCTCGAGCCGGGATCGACAACAAAATCACATCGTCGGAGACCTCGGCTTCCTTCATGCCCGCCAGGGACAAGCGCCCACCGGAGCAAGACAACCCTGAGATCCGACGTCGCGAACAGATGCAACATCGTCCGAGACTAGGACTGGAGGCCCATCTCTCCGCGGCCTGTCGGGAGATGGGTCGATGCGCGAGTCCAAGGCCCGGAACTGGGCGAAAGCGGCTGGAGTGAAAACATGCAACGCCTGGATCTTCCGGCACCTACTGGCCCGGGTCAATCCAGACCCGGGTCAATGAGGCCTTGCAAGATCCTGCAATATCTTGCAAGATCCTGCGCCCAAACCCGGGTCAATGAGAAGGATCCTGCAAGTTCTGGCAGAATCCTGCACCCGAACCCGGATCAATGCGACCCTGGCCCTGCAGGATCCTGCAAGATCGGGCGCTCTGGCTGACCCCCGTTTGCATTGACCCCCGTCTCTTGAGCCCCGAGATCTCAAAGCCGGACGTCCGCCGGGATGATGTTTCCAATCCGCGGCCCCAACACTTCCGATGCCTTTCCCCGGGGTGACTCTGCGTCCCGGGTCCATGCGGCAAAACGGCCACTGGGAAGCCAAGAAGAAACATTACCCTGGCGAAGGACCCAATCATATGCAATTGTGAATACCGCAGTTGTGAGCCCCACCTGCGGTGGAGATCCCTGTGGGGCCACGAAGCGCGTGAAGGGTGTGCCGAAGTGTGTGCGGTGGCGCCATGCGAACCCTGCCACTGGGGCTTTCGGTGAAGCTCCCTATGCGGCCACGGAACGTGTGAGGGGCGCGACGACATGGGTGCGGTGGCGTCATGCGAACTTTGCCACTGGGGCCTTCGGTTGAGCTCCCGATGGGGCCACGAAGCGTGTGAGGGGTGCGCTGAAGTGGGCGCGGCAGTCATGCGAACTTTGCCTCTGGGGCCTCCGGTAGAGCTCCTCCTCCTGCTCCTCCTCCTCCTCGTGCTCCTCCTCCTCCTCCTCCTCCTCCTCCTCCTGCTCCTCCTTCCTCCTCCTCCTCCTCCTCCTCCTTCCTCCTCCTCCTCCTCCTCCTCCTCCTCCTCCTCCTCCTCCTCTCCTCCTCCTCCTCCTCCTCCTCCTCCTCCTCCTCCTCCTCCTCCTCCCTCCTCCTCCCTCCTCCTCCTCCTCTCTCCTCCTCCTCCTCCTCCTCCTCTCCTCCTCCTCCCACTCCTCCTCCTCCTCCTCTCTCCTCCTCCTCCTCCTCCTCCTCCTCCTCCTCCGCTCTCCTCTCCTCCTCCTCTCCTCTCCTTCCTCCTCCTCCTCCTCCTCCTCCTCCTCCTCCTCCTCCTCCTCCTCCTCTCTCTTTCCCTCCTCCTCCTGCTCCTCATCTTCCTCCTCTTCATCCTCCTCCTCCTCCTCCTCCTCCTCCTCCTCCTCTCCTCCTGCTCCTGCTCCTCCTGCTCCTCCTCGGTGGAGATCCCCGTCTCAAGGCTCCCGAGCTGCGTCGCGGGCGGCGGGGCCGGCCGGGCTTCTCCTGCGACGCGCCGGAGGACGCGCGGCTCGGGCGGCTCGTAAGCCGCGCGTGCTCGGCGTCCTGTGGGCGGAGGGGCGGGCGCCCCAGGGCCAGGACCGCTTCGGGCTGGAGGGGGAGGGGAGGAGGAGGAGGAGGAGGAGGAGGAGGAGGAGGAGGAGGAGGAGGAGGAGGAGGAGGACGAGGAGGAGTAGGAGGAAGGAGGAGGAGGATTAGATGGATTAGGAGGAGGAGGAGGAGGAGGAGGAGGAGGAGGAGGAGGAGGAGGAGGAGGGGGACGGGTAGGGAGGGAGGAGGCGAAGGAGGAGGAGGAGGAGGGGGAGGAGGAGGGAGAGGAGGAGGAGGAGGAGGAGGAGGAGGAGGAGGAGGAGAGGAGGAGGAGAGGAGGAGGAGGAGGAAGGAGGAGGAGAAGGAGGAGGAGGAGGAGGAGGAGGCCTCCTCCTCCTCAATTTCCTCCTACAACTGGGATTGTAAACCAGTAGCTGGGGTTTGCTTACATGCTCCTCCTCACGTTCTGGAGGATTTGTTTACATGCATGTATACGTGAGTCTAGTGTCTCCTCCTCCTCCTCCTCCTCCTCCTCCTCCTCCTCCTCCTTCTGCTCCTCCTCCTCCTCCTCCTCGCCGCCTCCTCCTGAATGAGGAGGCATGAAAAAATGAGGATTTAACCCTTCGCACGTATTCTGGCCTCGTCGCTCGTCGGGCTCCGAGGGGCCTCACTAGGGAACTCCGGAGGCCTCATGGCACCTCGGGCCTGCGGACAGGATCAGTCAGTATCGCATCGATGCACTGGAGTCCCTCCGTGCAACCAACGGCACAAGAGGAGGTGGAGGATGAGGATGAGAAGGATGAGGAAAAGGAGGAGTATCGCATCAGGAAGAGTGTCATGCCGAATCGAAATTTGCGCCGAAGCGGGCTGCGTCGGCACAGGGTTGAGATCGAATCCGATCGGCTGCGCCAGGATGCAGAACTGCGCCATGAAAGCATCGGGCCGCATCGGGTCGTGGTAAATCTCGGAGTCAACCGGCCGGAGATCGACGTCGACTCGGAGCGATCGGGTTGAAATGGGCCCTGCCGAATTTCCTTCGGCCTCGTTGGGCCTCCTCCGAGGGAGCTCCGGCAGGCCCTGAGGGAGACAGGAGCCCTGAGGGAGACAGGAGGAGGATGAGGAGGAGGAGGTGGAGGAGGAGGAGGAGGAGGAGGAGACAGGAGCTTCCCTTCGCTTCACTGGCGCTCCCATTTCCCAGTCGGGCTCGGCGGCAAGGGGCCGTCATCGATGCCCTGGGCAAGGGCGTGGCATAGTGTGTCGTGGGCCCCTCTTTGAATATCAGCTTCGTTCCCCGAGGGGCCCGCCGAGCCTGTCGCCAAAGGGGGGGAGAGAAGGGCGGGAGGAGGAAGGAGACGAGGATGACGCGAGGAGAAGAAAAGGGAGGAGACGAGGGAGGAGACGAGGGAGGAGACGAGGAGAAACGAGGAGGAGGAGGGGGAGGAGGAGGAGAAGGAGGAGGAGGAGGAGGAGGAGGAGGAGGCGGAGGAGGAGGAGGAGGGGAGGAGGGAGGGAGGGGGAGGGAGGAGGGAGGAGGAGGGAGGAGGGAGGAGGAGGAGGAGGGAGGAGGGAGGAGGGGAGGAGGGAGGGAGGGAGGAGGGAGGAGGAGGAGGAGGAGGAGGAGGGAGGAGGAGGGAGGAGGAGGAGGGAGGAGGAGGAGGAGGAGGGGAGGAGGAGGAGGAGGAGGAGGGGAGGAGGAGGGTAGGAGGAGGAGGAGGAGGAGGAGGAGGAGGAGGAGGAGGAGGAGGAGGAGGAGGAGGAGGAGGAGGATGAAAGGGAGGAGGAGGGAGGAGGGAGGAGGAGAGAGGAGGAGGAGGAGGGGGAGGAGGGAGGAGGAGGGAGGAGGGAGGAGGATGGAGGAGGGAGGAGGAGGGGAGGAGGGAGGAGGAGCAGCAGCCGCAGCGGCCTCCGCCGGCCCGCGGCCGGGGGCCCCCCGAGGTGGTCGAGGTGGGCCGAGGGCCGAGGTGGCCGCCCTCGAGCTCCTAGGTGGCCGAGGTGGCCGCCTCTCGAGGTGGCCCGCGCCGGGGCCCGAGGGCCGAGGTGGCCGCCCTCGAGGTGCTGCACACGCACGGGGGAGCGCCAGACCCAGGCATGGTGGCGTCGTCAAAAGAATCCAGGGCGGGAAGTTTCTCGCCATTTGCGGCCCCGGCCGGGCCCTCGCCGGGCCTCGGGGCCGTCGGAAAACGACGCAGGACGAAGAGCCGGTCCCGGGGAAAGGGTCGGGACTTTCAGGGGCGCCGTCCTGAAAAAGTCAGGGCGTCGCATGTCTGGGGAGCGAGGGGCATGAGTGCTGGTTGGAGGGCGAGAGCAGGGGTCTGCAACCGGGGGCCTGCAATGTGTGCAGCATGGCCCATCTAATCATGGCTTGTCCAAAGGATCCCGCACGGTTGGTGTCCACTGCGCGTGGGCACATTGAGGCGGGCATGCCACGCTCGAGCGCCGCCCGTTGGCGGTAACGCATCGCCCAACCATTGTCGGTGGCACAGGCCCAGTGGGATCCATGCGCTGCAAGACGCAAAATGTGCGTTCACATGTTGGGAAACGCAAGCGGTAAATTCGCAGTGTGGGAAGACACAACATGTGAATTCACACTTTGGAAAAACGCAAAATGTAAATCCCCCCAGCCCGATGTGCGTAGGTGGTCGAGGGAGTTTCCTCTTCCAACCCCCTTTACCCCTCCCCCCGTGCCCCCTCCCCTGGACCTGGACAGGGCGCCCCACGAGGTGTCAGAGGGTACCTTGTCGCCCAAGATGGCTCCGAGAGGGCCTCAGAGAGCCTAAGATTACCTCCAAGATGGCCCAAGATAGCCCAAGATGCCTCAAGTCGGCTCCCACGATGCTCCAAAAGGCCCCAAGAACGCTCAAAGACGGCTCCAAGACGCCTCCGAGACCTCCAAGGAGGCCTGCAAGAAGCCAAAAGCCTTCCAAACCCTGGGGACAATCAATGTGTTTTGCTTTCACTCCTGAAGGCTCCCGATGGTCATCCGACGCCTCAAGACGGCTCCAAGATGGCCTAACAGGGCCCCAGGAGAGACCCAAGAGAGCCTCAAGACGGCCCCAAGAGTGCTTACGAGCGCTCCAAGAGCTCCCCAAGAGGCGACTTTTGGGGCTACCCAGGGAGAGGGGGGGAAACAGGGAACTCCTCTTCTTTGATCGATTTCCTCCAAGATGGCCTCAAGAGCGCTCCTAAGGCTCCGAAGAGTGCCCCAAGATGGCTCCAAGAGGTGCCCAGACGGCCCCAAGAGGCGCACAAGATGCCACCATGAGGCTCCTAAGAGGCCCCCACGAGGCTTCAAGAGGATCCCGGAGGCACCCACGACGCTCAAAGACGGTCCTGGGCTCGCCAAGATGCCCCTTCTCCTCCCCCTTATCCACGGTCTCTTCCTCCTCCTCCTCCTCCTCCTCCTCCTCCACCTCCTCCTCTTCCTCCTCCTTATTCGCGGTTTCTTCCTCCTTCCTCCTCTTCGCCCTGCTTACTCTTCTCCTCCTCCTCCTCCTCCTCCTCCTCCTCCTCCTCCTCCTCCATCCTCCCCCTCTTGGGGTATCGGGCGGCTTCCCTCGCCCATTGTTCTTCTGCATGCTCCGCCACTTCCCCGATCACCTCAACTCCCCTGGACATCGTTTCTGGATGGGCTGGTGCTGATGTTCACACGTTCCGGTGTTATTATTATGTTGATTCGCATGCCGAGGATGTGATTTCACATGTTGAAGAAAACGCAACATGTGAATTCACATGTTGGAGAACGCGAAATGCGAATTCACATTCTGGAAAATCGTACCAAGCTGTCAGTGCGCGCTGGGCGATGGCCCGCGACGTAGCAAGGTGGGCGGCGATGTGTGGGCGATGTGTTACCAACAACGGACCACGCTCGA